TGCCGCATTTAGCACCACCCCCGAAAGTCGGATCGGGATTGGGAAGCGGAAGCGGAGGGGGGTGGAGGCCGGCGAAGACGGGCGGAGGTAGGCGAACACGGCCGGAGGTGGGCGGAGCTGGGCGAACGTGGGGGGAAAGGATCGGGATCCGGATCTGGATCGGGATTGCGAAGCGGAAGCGGAGGCGGGCGGAGGTCGGCGGAGAAGTAGGGAGGCAACCGGGGCAGCAACAACTGCATGAGGCCTACGTCCGCTTCTCATTCCCAACCCGCTTGAGTGTGGCGGAGACAGGATTGGGAAGCGGATTGGGATTGGGAAGTGTAGGTAGACGCTGCCACATGGCAGGGCCTTGATGGGGGCGCAAGCAGAAGCGGAAGCGGGGGGGGGCGGAGGTCGGCGGACGTAGGCAAAAACGGTCGCAGGTAGGCGGAGACGGGATTCGGAAGCGGATTGGGATCGGAAAACCGATCGGGATTGGGAAGCGGATTGGGATTGGGAAGCGCGGAGAAGCGGCGCTGCCACGTGGCAGGGTCATGATGGGGGCGCAAGCGGAAGTGGAATTGGATTGGGAAGAGGAAGTGGGCGGGGGCGGAGGTCGGCGGAGGTAGGCGAAGAGAGGCGAAGGTAGGTGGAGGTAGGCGCTGCCACGTGGCAGGTCCACGTGGCGATCGGGATCCGGATCGGGATCAGGATCGGAAAGCCGAAACCGAGATGGCGACGCCGCGCGGATGACCACGTGGCAAGGCCTTCATGGCCATGCCTCCCCCTGCACTTCCCTTCCCTCCCCTTCCCCTTGATGATGATGTGCAAGTAAGGAAAGCTGGGGGAACGACCACTCACCCACCACTCAATCAATCAATCAATCAATCAATCAATCAATCAATCAATCAATCAATCGAAAGAAAAAAAAAGTGAAAAAAAGGAAGCGGGGGCGTTTCCCCCCCGCCCGCATTGATTGATTGATTAGAAGCGGGGTGGAAGGGGGAGGTGGCGGAAACACAGGTCAAAGCGGAACCGGCGGGGAAAGCATGGTTTTTTTTCTACGTTTTAATCAATCAATCAATCAATCTTGATTGATTAATTGATTGATTGATTCACTTGGGTCGGCTGCCATCCCCACGTGCTCGCGATAACAGAAACTTTTTTTTTTTTTTTTAAGCAATCAATCAATCAATCAACCAATGAACCCAAGTTGATTGGTTGATCGGTTGATTCACTGACCATGACATACTGACCACGACGTACCCCCCATCACTGACCATCACTGACGACGCGCAAGTAAGTAAAGGTGGGGTGGCAACCACTCGCCCACCACTCAATCAATCAATCAATCAATCAATCAATCAATCAATCAATCAATCAATCAATCAATCAACTTGGGTCTGCGGAGATGTGCGAAAGTGGGGAGAGGTCCACCTGGCGATCGGGATTCGGATCGGGATTGGGAAGCAGCCATGGAGGCGGGCGGAGCGGCGATCGGAATCCGGATAGGGATGCCATGTAGCGGTTTGCCACGTAGCGGTTTGCCACGTAAACAAACGGAAAAAAAAAACACGTTGCGTTTCACGCGGAGGTATCGTCGGGCGGGTTGCGTTTCTCTCCCTCCTGATTCACATCACTCAAGATAGTTATGGCGCATGGCGCCCAACAATCCCTCCCGACCAAGAAGAAGTAAAAAAAGAAGAACACAAAGATGAGGAAAAAGAAAAAGAAGAAGAAGACCAAGAAGAAGACCAAAAAGAAGAAGACGGAGAGGAAGAAGAAAAAGAAGAAGAAGAAGAAGAAGAAGAAGAAGAAGAAGAAGATAAAAAATCCACCAAGACGAAGAAGAAGATGAAGAAGGAGTAGACGAAGAAGAAGACCAAGACCATGAAGAAGAAGAAGAAGAAGAAGAAGAAGAAGAAGGACGACCGGAGTTGAAGAAGGAGCAAGATAAACCTACCAGCAGAAGTCATATACTCCTCCTCTTCTTCTCGTCGAGTCCGAATGCCCCAAAATCCAAATGCCGTGAAATTATCGCTCTCCCTCGGCTATGGTCTCTCTCTCTCTGTCTCATCAAATGCCCTCAAATGTCGCAAAATGTCTCTCTCTCTCTCTCTCTCTCTCTCTCTCTCTCTCTCTCTCTCTCTCTCTCTCTCTCTCTCTCTCT